TGTGCTTCAGAGACAACTGGAGGAAGCTCGAATTTTTATTGATGTAGAAATGGGACAGAATGCACGCACTCAATCTGTTTCCGAGATTCCAATCACACTAACAGCGGAGGAGATGGAGGCAGCTCAAAATCGTTTCAAGAAATTGGATAAAGATAACAAAGGACATATCACCTTAAATGATCTCAGACATCATTTTCGAGTATTGTCTTTTTTCATTTGTTTTGTGCTATTTAACAGCAGTACAAAACGCATATTATCATGGAGTTGTGTGCGTGTTTGTGTGTATGCATATGTGTGTGTCCGCATCAACTTGTCCGCAACTTTCAACTCAGGAACCACAAAAGCTAGGAAGCTGAAAATTTAGGGTAATGTTCCTCACTCATGTATGACCTCGCAAATTAAATTCAGCCTCCTCCTTCCCACGGGTAACATGTACGGCCCTGTAAAAGTTTGGGCGGGTAGAAATATTGTCACAAGACCACGGAAACTAGAAGGCTGAAATTTTGTGGGTATATCCCCTGTCCACATGCGATCCAGAAAATTTAAATTCAGCCTTCTTCTGCCCGCGGGTAACGCGAAACGCCCCGTGAAAATTTTTGCGGGTAAATTGGTGTTTCGGGAACCACGGAATATACGAAGCTGAAGTTCTATGGTACTGACCTCCTGCTCACGCTCGACCTTGCATATTCAAATCCAGCGTCCCCATACTCTCGGATATCACTTACGGCCCCGTGAAAATTTTGGCGAATAAATTGTTATCTCGGGAATCACGAAAGCTAGGAAGCAGAAATTTCATGAGCATATATCCTTTTGCCCATGCGCGACTTTGAAAATTTAAATCCGGCTTTTCCGTGCCCGCAAGTAACATGTACGGAGTCGTGAAACTTTTGACGAGTAAATTTTTATCTCGGGAACCACGGATTCTAGGATGCTGAAATTTTATGGATATGTTCCTTGCCGCGTACAACTTCTCTCAAATTTTGATTCAGTCTTCCCGCGCTCGCGGGTAACATATGCGGCCTCATGAAACATTTGGCAGGTAAATTATTACCTCGGGAGCCACGGAATCTAGGAAGCTGAAATTTTAGAGTATGGCCTCCAGCCCACGTACGACCTCGCAAATTCAAACTCTGCATCCCTATGCTCTCGGGTATCACCTGCGGTCCGGTGAAAAATTCGGCGGGGAAATTGTTATCTCGGGAACCGTAAAAATCAGAATGTTGAAATTTTACGGTAGTGTCTTCTGTCCATATACAGTCCTGCAATTTTAAATTTATCCTGCCCGCGCGCCTGAGTATCACTTACGACTCCACGGAAGTTTCGGCGGGGGAAATTATTACCTCGGGAGCCGTGGAAGTTGGAAATCTGAAATTTTAGGGCGATCTCCGCTATAAACGTACGACCTCGCAAATTTGAATTCAGCCTTCACGCACCCCTGGGTGCCACATACAGCCCCGTGAAAATTTTAACAGAGAAATTATTATTGTGCGTGAAATTTTTAGTGGGAAATTCCGCAACTTGAGAATTATTGCAAAAAAAATTCATTAGCAGGCAGTCGTTCGGTGGACGGAATTGCACAAAAAGCATGATCGCACCAGCTGCCCTGGTGCGCGCCACTATTTCAAATTGGCTCAAACACTGATGATGATTCAGTTGAAAGACAGCAAAGTGTAAAAATCTTATGTATTTTAATAGACAAACAAAATTTTTTTTGCAGAAACATGGTGAAAAAATTGACGAGAGCTTGCTTCATGAGCTTTTGAATGAAGTTGATCTAAATAAAAATGGCGAAATTGAACTGAAAGAGTTTTACCAGGTATAATTTGATGCTTTTTAACTTCAGCGCTCAAAAATCCTGAGTTTTCTGTTCACTTTATATCTGTTTTGTTAGCAGGGTTACCAAGTTCGTTCTGACTGTATTGAAACACCGTTGATATTACTAGGATGTAGCGAGATGTCAAGCGCAGCTCGTCTGTTTCCAGCAGCTTGTCTGCAGTTTTTCTCCCCCTCTCATATACATGCATAATCCGTGGTTTTTCCTAGCGAACTTCTTTTCTGTTTATTTCCGGGTATCTGCAAAATAAAATTGTTCTAATGAACAACTTTTTACTAAAACCGTTCCTTCAGAACTGATTTTTTAAATTTTTTCAGCTGTACAGCGGGCTGAAAGGAGGACAAATTGCGCAAAACCGACTGGCTCGATATCTCGATGAATTTGAACCGACTCCTGTGTCAGTGTTGCGCTCCGGAGGCGGCGTTTAGAATTTTCCCAATTTGATAGAAATTAATATATCTCACACTTTAACTAATTCGGGCCTTTTGAAAGCGGAAAGTCTGAAGCAGGCGAGAAGATGCGTAGACAGGGAAGCTCATTTGTTGTGAGTAAGTGGCAGGAGCGCAGAAACCGAATAGTTCTGGGGTAAATAAGAATATCGAAATCATTTTTCTAGTCGAAGGTGCCATGCGCGCAAAGCTTAAATGCCAAATTCAGACTTCCAGCAAGACGCCAACATGTTTTTCCATTACCGTCTTTTATGGGACTTTGAAGTTGAGGACTAGCTGCGATGCATCAGGCTTGCTGGTACGATCATGCGTTTTTACTCTAAACTTGAAGCAGTCAGGTCTTTAACTATGTGTGTCGTGAATGGGCCTTGTCGAAAACTGTTTTGGGCCGGGAAGGAATCGATTACTGCTTTTTACGTCCGGATGCGAGGTGCTGCCCACTACACCACCGTTCCTTTGTGCTTCAGGGTCAAAACTGTAGCAACACCTAGTATGTATCTTCCTTTTAAGGCTGAATTCACTTTTCTTCTCTGCTTTTCATAGGCGGTTTTCATTTTTTTTTCTTTGTGGCGGTTTCTTAGCCGGCTTTTCGCTGGTTTTCTGCGATGCTCCTGTCACAAAGATGCCACAGCCTATTACTCAGTCTCCCAAGGGTGTTTGCCAGCTTTCTAGCGGCTTTTCGGGCACGTGACACTATGCCATGAACTGATGGACCGAGAGGGAATGAAACACTCCTCTTCATTTCCGGGCATGACGTGCTCTATCCACTGTACCACCGGCTCTTGTGCTACAGGATCAGCCTGGTAGCACATCTACTGTGTATCTGCCTTTCAAGGCAGAATACACCTTTCTTTTCTTCTCTGCCTCCTGTAGGCAGTCTTCATTTTTTTTTTATGGCGGCTTCTTGGCCGTCTTGTCGAACATTTTCGGCGACAGTATGAATGGTCGTTGCTTTACATTTGACATGTGCACTCATTGCTATAAATCATCATAAATTTTGTATGAAGGGAAATGAATAATTTTCGTTGACCGGTCGTTCATTGAAAATGACTCATTAGTTTGGTTCTCGAGTTAACAGTTTTCCCTCCAGAAATTTCATGTGCCGTTTTGACCCGGGCGTAGCTAGAAACTGAGTTTGGAAACTTCAATTTGTAAGTGAATGGGGTGCACTACCTTAAAACTTCAGCTTTCTAGCTTGCCTGATTCTCGAGCGGCAGTTTTCCCGCCAAAAACTTCACATATCCGTACGTAGGAACAACGCGTAGCTAGAAATTGAATTTGACGTACTTAAATTGTACTTGGGCGGAGAGCATCGTCTTAAAATTCCGATCTTCCAGTTTCTTCCGAGTTAGCAATTTTCCAGCCGAAACTTTCATCCTGATGCGGGACCTAGACGTGTATAAGAGTTGGTCCTACGTTCCTGGGATAGTGGCTGGCCAGGGATTGCTCACTGACAGAATTTTAGTGTCAGAGATTGCCTGGTGTGCCCTAACACGCAGTTGAATTCATACTGGTCGTGCTTTGGCCGCTTCTGGCATTCAGGGTGAGGGCGTCGGTTGGGATGAAGGTGTTGCATTATAGAACAGCGTTGACCTCCAGGTGCGTGATTACCAGTTTTTTGCATGAAGCTCAGTCGTTTTTCTGCTAAGTCCTCGCTCTTCGAAAAAATGCAAATTCCAGTTTTTCACTGAGAAGTGAAAATGTTGCTAGGGCGGTCGTTCGCTGTAAAATGCACTCGTCTCTGAATTTGTGGTAAAATTGAGTATTTCTCATGCCCACCTGCAGGGAATTTCACTTTCAAGTAGAATTATGACGACACTTGAAAGTAGAATAATCCAGCGAAGTTTCAGCCTGGCAAGCAAAATAGCCATTTTGCTACAAATATATTTGCCTGGCAAGCGAAATAGCCATTTCACTACAAATATATTTGAAGTGCCCTAATTCTTGGCGCAAGTGCAAGTCGGTACTCGTTTTAGGTATACGATTTCCCATATGGGTGATAGACATGCTGACAAAATTTCAGCTACTGTTAAATTAGCACAGTACCAAATTGCAAACTTTGACATAGTCGTACGCGCTACACAAACTTGCGTAATGACTGAATTTGAAATCTTTAGCTCACACAAGTGCGTAGAATATCCTTGCAAAGTTTCAGCTTTCTATCTCGCCTGTTTCCCAAAACCGTTTCCTACTGGAAAAATTTGTACATTTTTCCGGGAGTACGCATACGAGATCAAGGCGCGTGTAGGAAAGATTTTGAAACGAGAGATTGACACACGGAATGGGAATATGTCCCCAAAATCTCAACCTCCTAGCTTTCTAGGTTACTGAGTTGAAAGTGGGTGACAAAGTTAACTCGTTTCCGAACACGCAC